TTTTACATTGTTATGCACACCAATTTAACCTCGTTATTAAAAATATGTGTCTTGATACCCCTCTCGTCCGTATATTTTTTGCAAATGTTTCGGGGTTTTCTTCATTTTTTCCGTTTCGCCGAAGCGCTCTGACCTCCTTCGCCAGATATGTAGCCTCCGTCTCCCAGCTTGTGCACCAACTCGTTGGAACTTCCAATCACGCGTGGTGCAGGGCGTGTCCGAAATTAGGTCTGAGCTCATTGAGTGTTTCAATGGCATTCAGAGCTCTCCGGTTTGGGACGAACGCTCTGTGAGGGAGGCGGCAGGTCTAAAGCGTCTGCTAGAAGATGGTGAGTTTTCAGTTTTTCTCGCTTTTTTCTCCACATTATTCTATCACGTGGATGTATTATACGGCGCATTGCAGTCAAGGCTAATGGATGGAGCGTCTGTGCAGTCGTGTATTTCAGACTTCTGCTATGCTGTATCTCGTATCCGGGAAACAATAAAATACGACGACACATGGAGTGCTTCTTTACGCCGCGGGCAAACAACGCAGCGTTTGATTTTGTCTGCAAAGGTATGCTGTGACATTCTGGTGAATCAAATAGGCGATCGTCTGCGCACTGAACACCTTGCCGCGTTCTCTTTGATGAACCCCAAAAATTTTTCAAAATTTGCACGTCAATTTACCATCCATTTGTTGGCTACTGTCTCCAAATTTTACCCCATGATAAACGTGGGTAAATTGGAAAATGAATTGCGATGTATATACACCAATCAAACTTTTTTGAACATCACATCAACTTGCGCGCTCTATGGGTTCCTCATAGATAACACTCTAGTAACTACCTTTGCGGCGTCTGCAAAATTTCTGGACATCATTTTGACGAGGCCTATTTCTTCCGCCGACGCAGAGCGAACATTCAGCTCGCTGAAGCGTATTAAAACGTATCTCAGAAACACAATGAAGCAAGATAGATTAAATTCTTTGGCTGTTTTATCCATTCACAGAGACGTAATTTCTGGGATGCATGACTTTAATCAGCGCGTTATTGAGCATTTTGCTTCCAAGAAACCGCGTCGTGTTGCATATATGTTCAAGCAGTAGAAGTCTAGCAGCATATATATCTATGAGTGAGCGACGCATGTCCTTATCTTTGCATTAACTTTCCTTTCTTCATAGCAACGTTTTAAACCTTATTTTAGGTTTTGTCTGCTTTCCCGAAGTTTCTGTTAATATGTCATTGTATTTATCTGGGTAAATATTGCCTTTCCTTTTGAAAGAGGTTTCAAAATAAACTATGTCTATATTTATTAATCCCTTGACTTGGACCGGTTTTAAAGACACTTTCTTATCGTTAAAATTGTCGCTTTTGCCGATTGGTTGTTACCGATGGAATGGTTTTTATACTCATAAAATGATGGGAGAACTTACAGCGCTCATCCTGTCCCCGTAGATGGGGGTGACTTGGTCCCGCAGTAGCTTGCCCCGGTTGTCAAAATGACCACGTGCCGCCACTGGCATTTTGCTATACAATGGCGCTCGCTATGAGAAAAATAAGAAAAATTTGAAAAGTTGTCTTTGCGTTATGGTGTTATATGCTTATTTTTGCACTTATGGTATTCTTTCAATTCATCGTTTTGCAAAAAAAACGTACCGACCGATCCGTAAATTTAGAAACGTCAAACCAGATTAGGTATTTAAAATAAATTTCCCAGATTTAAACTCGGCATGCTTAGTGACATGTCATTAGCCATTTCTTGCATTACCGAACATAAAGTTGCTTAAAATTAAATGTTAAAATGACATTTCGGCGTTTCATTGTGAAAAAGGCAATTTTAGGTCGTTAAAACACTCTAATTATGTAAATAGCATGGATTTAAAAATGACCAAAAGTTTTTCCAAAAGCTGGTATGAGTTACTTGTATGGGAAAAATTCATTAAGTTGTAACCAGATAAGAAATGTCATGTCCTACTCCCTTTAAAGCACTTTGTGTTAGCTCTTTAGTGATCCCTTCCATCCTTTGCCAAGTAATTTTTCGAATATGTAAACATTTTACTCGACCATGCATGGCCGTCGTTGAGCCAAGTTGAGCCCAGAGTAGAACGTAAAATCAATCGTGAATTTCGTTGTAACAATGCACACTGACTCGTTCACAAATTGTTGCGTCTATTATCATCGAAAATGATCACAATTGTTAAATTTTGAAGCATTTGGGCAGTAATAATTAAGCCATAAGGCATGATATAATCAAAATCATCAAGTGAAGTGCTGAATTTGCGAATTCTGTAAAGAAAATTGAGCATTACTGAGTAAGTATTTTAGCTATAATAACCATCGGGGTGTTGTTTTGTTGAAAAAAAAAACCCACGTACATTTGAACCCATGACAATTGCACCTGTATGCTATTGCACCTATGGAAATTTTTTTGTTTCACGGATAGTTAAACCCATACTAACCCTAACCCATGGGTTTTAGCACCCGCATATAGATTGAACCCGTGGATATACGCATGGGTTCAAATGTAAATGGGTTCAAATGTACGGTCACCGTATTCAACAGCTGTCGCTGATGAGAACGCAAGGGTATACTAGAAATATGGAATTTCAATATTCGGCGACCGCTTATTCTTGCAAAAACGAGAAAGGGCGGAAATATAGAATACCAACTTTAGGATATCGCTGCCAAAACGATCGCGGTGACAAAGACGATCAGCCATTATGATAAAATTGACCATTAAAAAACGCTTTATTGCCGACTTTTCAATGTTTCTATTAATTTCCAAATGGACTATCGGCCTCCGACGTTCTGGATCCCTGTTATGTATAAAAAAATATTCAAATTATTCGATTCGAAAAAATTTTCGATTTTTTTATTCGATTTAATTAAGCTTTGATTTCTAATAAGTTTGTCAAAACGGGTCGTGATCGTGGAGGATGCAAGGTGCAGTAGCTGCTTGAGATGATCGCCAGATTTTCGGGACTATTTTCGATTTCTGGAACAAAATTAAAATGCTCTAGAAATTAAAATAATCATTGAGTTATTTGATTTATACATAAGATCTGGAAATGCGACACAAACTGAAAATCCACGAAAGCAAGCCAATGATTACAACCATGTCTGAAATCTTTCCAAGCGCAAAGTGTCCGAGTATCCGCGAAACGCTCACTGTTGCGTCACTATTGTATCTTGTAGGTTAGTCAACGCTACGCAAATAAACACGGGGGAATCCATTCGACTAACTAATAGACTTCAGCATTTTAATTTCGAGACAATTATTAGTTTTCAATGAAAAATTTTCTTTAAAAATAATTAATTTTTAAAACATTAACGGGAGCCGCAGGAAAGGTTGTTGAGAGCCGCATGCGGCTCTCAAACCCTAGTTTGAGAATCACTGATTTAGATTGAACATGTCTCACGATAAATACTGTTACGTAAAAAATATAATATACTCCTTGAGCGTAGATTATAAAATTAATTCATCGTCAAAACTGCCGTTTTGTCGATATAATTCAGTAAAGCATCTTGGGCCGGAACTGGCTCGCGTGCTGTATGTTGTCGACCCCTGGGCTACGCAAACTAACTTACAGCAGGGAGGAGTCCAGCAATCTTCTCGCATTTGATTATCGCCCACAGGAATCAATCCTTCGAATACATGCAAATAACAGTAATCTAGTGCATGATACGCCAGCTGCTGAACAAAAACAGGTTTTGCGAAATCGCCCCCTTCTGTATCGTTTTTGCCCAGCGTAGGGCAATATCGCCCACTTTGGGAATCACTGTTGTAGGAGGCAGAAGATGAATAAGTTTGATGATTTAATTAATAATAAACAAAATTTCACCCTTACTTCACCCAAATTCAGGATCTTTTGTAAAAACCCCGCTGTCAATTCTCAAAGTAAGAAAGTTAGTAATAATTCAGATATGGTTAGAAATGGAGAAATCATTCGTGAACCTAACTGAATAATTACTAATTTATTATTTTCAAACGTGGCTTGGGGTGCTTTTCTCAAATATTACACTTTTGCATTGGTGGCAGCCTGACAGGGGCTTTGTACAAAAGACTTCCTCGCCGTCACACTCCAGTGACTTCAGAATGATGCAAGTCTAAGAATGATATTTTTAGAAAATAAAAGACATAGGAATGGGTTGGATAAAATAGTTGAATGATTTTTGAGGATTTTTTTTTCTCACACTCGGTTACTGTTCAGTGATTTTGACTTTTTGCAGGCTGCTGAGAGGTATTATTAAAAATCTAAAGACATGAGCAGTGCTGGAAAAATTATTTTAAGCTTCAGTTTTTTCCTAATTCCCAGTCATGCTCCGGTGATTTTAGGTCATAATCAAAAATGATAAAAAGTAGATGACGAGATGAGGTTTATGAAAAAAAATGTCACTGACCCTAAAATTGATATAAATTACTTCCATACGGTAGTGATGAGTTCCTGATCTGTTATTCAACCTACCTACGGTAATCACACCATGATGTCATGCCACTGCATAGGATAAATTTCTGTGATTTATCGGCGCAACAACCCATGTGTCATCTATCATCCTCCTAACCAGCCTGGGTTTTCAATTTCCCTAAAACTGTCTTTCACAAGCTTTGCAGGTGCAACCTCAACTGGATTTTCATTGTCATTATGCATATTTTTATATACATTTACAATTCATTTGGGAAAAAATTCCAATCACATGCTATTGGAGTATTCCATGTAATATAATACTAGTAAGAAAAGGAATGCAATCCATTAGTCATACTTGTGCTACAAAAAAGGTATTTTGCGTTCTATGTTTCTGCAATTTTTTTCATTCTGCTTTTTCATACGGGCAATATCTTGTCTGATACAGAATGTCCATTATTTGTATGCTTCTGTTAAGTCATAGTCCTCTGATATTTGTTTTCAGAATAATTTGTTGTTGCAGAGTTGTGATGACCAAATACATGATGAAAACTGTCACTCCAGCTGACTATTTGCAATATTTAATAATAATTTATTCATTCTCTTTTAATTTCAGGTTCTGGATCTTTTTCACAGAGCCAAGATCGTAGCAGTGTTGACCTAGAAGTTAGCAATCACGATTTTTTTGTGGCAGGTGAGTGTATTTATAGTTAGTTCTGTTATTGCAATTGATTTCCGATTCTACAAATATCACATTTAGTCAACACAAAAGTAAACACATTGTTTAAGGCTTTGATGAGCAGTTCCTCTTTCATACCATTTATTAAATGCATAGTCTGCACATCTTCTAATATCAGCAAAACACACTTGAGGCTTGTTTCTGTTTGATTACTCTCGTCAAATTATGACTTGTCTGCATCACTCAGGTTCAAGTTCTACTACATTATTGAAAACAGATCAAAGTACAAATGTGGAAATTAAAGATTCAAATATTCACATTATTGGAGGTAAGAACTTTGGAATTTATGTTGAATAGTAGCTTAGTCATTCCATTTCTATAGTATTATCAAATTTTACTCATTCGTTTTAACTGACGCACAAAATTCGCTGTGATATATCACATAAATGATCTTCTGCTAGCTCAGTGATATTAGTTGTTTACATGGTTCAATATCAGAATTTTCACTTCATATTATACTGAACACTCATGTCAATTTTATAGGCAAGTCAATGCTAACTGAGGGAGAAGGAGCTACTACAATCATACGTGACAGCGTTATCAAGATTGAATGGAGAACACATAATGGTAAATAAGAAATTATTTTAAATTCGAACAATGAAAAAACATCACAAGGCTCTAGAGAAAATATTAATAATTAATTTCTAATTAAATTTGGACGGGAATACATTCACAATGACGATGATTCCGCCTCGAAGAAGATCTTGACTGTACAGATTTGACAGCCATGTTTACTTTTGTTTCCTTGCTTTTTAAGTTCAATAAATTTTGACCTTAAATATAACTATTTGAGTATTGGTGAGACTCGACTCGCAAGATCTCAGTTTATTCTCAATATTTTACTTTGCTATTCCTAAATAATATTGGCTAGCTGAAATTTAATTCAAACCTACAAAATTTTCAGATTCATCTCCTTCACTTCCAGCATTGACTGAAACACCACTTCAGGCACTGTCAAATGCAAAATTTGATCCTGTGTATGAAGGAAATTCATCATCGCCAGGTAAGCCTAATGCATACAAATCCAACCTTTGTTTTATAAGCGTTCTTTCTAGTTTTCTCGTAAATGAGATTAGTTCTCATCGTTTGTACCAATTGGAACCAATAACATGCTTTAAAGATTGCATAGTGAAAGTATATATCTGGTTCTTTCAACTCAAACGCAACTCTCCATGTAATCGTCCTAAGATACCATGAAACTTGAAAATTTTAATATAGCCTGCTTGATTCCTAAAAAAAAATCTTTCAAAAGTAATCAGATTTTAGATCAGATCAAGGATTTGTCTTTAGATTATTAAAAATCTATCATTATACTAACATTTTGCCATCGTGGGAGTGGTAACTGAACTGCAGGCTGGTTATTACTCCACCATTTAGTTTATGCATCTAAATTGTCGGGAATGAAATTTGCTGCATGACGGGTTGCGTTTCAGCTGATAAATAAACACAATCCACCATTAGTAATTAATTACCTAGAACAGGGGTGCACAACCTTTATTATAGGATAGCCGGATACAAATAACTGGGTGAAACTGCGGACCACACCTTTATTTGACATAGGCTTTCTAGTAGTTACAGTAGTTACAAAAATTACGTTGTTGACTTTGCGCAAGCTAGCTGTTAGGGCATTGTAAGGCCATACATAGATAATAAATTGGACCTTTATAATCCTTGAAAAGCAAAGTGGATAGAATTACTCGCAAGTCACTCGTACCAGATGAAATTAAACATGAAGTTTGCTTGTAGGCGCACCATTCCAAATTGGCACTTCTCTGCGGAGCGCGCAATTTTATCTTGTGGGCTGCATTTGGCCCGCGGGCCACAATTTGCACACTTCTGACCTAGAGATTTGTAGTATGTGAACCAAGATGGCAGACACCAGAACGTAGTATGCGTACCAGGTTAGGGTTATGCTATAATTTCAGGTACAAATACTACAGGTGTCACTTGACTAGTCCTCGAACTCGTAATAGAACTAAAATAAGGAAAATTGGTACAAAATTATGGCCTAACCCTAACCTGGTACACATACTACGTTCCGGTCTCCGCCATCTTGGTTTACAAACTTCTGGAGCACCAGAGATTTTTTATTTACTAGTGGTGTCGAGAAACCCAAATTCATGTGGGCAAAGTTTTTTCCTGAATGGCCGCTAGTGATATATGCTTTCAATGCAGTATGTAACTGGCATATAAGAATTACATCACTAAAGTACTTGGGCAAAAGTAATATTGCCTACATGTTAGAAAATGCAAGTATTTTGGTTACAGCAGTAGATCGCAATTTTGATAAGAAAATCAATTTTAACAAATTTATAAAACGGTTTGTATTTCACCTCATGCTAACATTTATCCTGTGTGAGTATATTATGAATCACACAAATGGTTTAAACTCCTGAGATTATTGCTACAAAACATTGACCTCAATGGGTGCCTAGGTAGGTTGAATAACAGATCAGATGAATTAAAATAATTACATTTCATTAAGCAGAAGTAATGTCCTTAGCCGGTATCACTATTTTAAGTTACGCACATAATGCATTTTCACAATTCACACTATACGATATATTTAACCTTCGTATTAAATTTTTTTTAATTTTTCTGCAGATGCAGCCCCTCCACATCCTTCCCCATCATTTGTCGCAACTGGAACACCGGTTCAACCATTGCCAGATACAGCAATTGCTCCTGTGTATAAAGCAAATTCACCAGGTATGTTTGGGCTAATGGAAAACGTCCAATCTTGGTAGGTCCAACAAACTTCTTACTAATCACTTACTAATTGTGTCTACAAGATCAAGATAAACTTACATGTTACATATGACTTGTAAAATATTGACGTGTCACGTTTTCTTGATTTATTCATTGTTAAACACTGCAAGAGTAATTATCTAAATTGCAACTCTTCTATGTAACCGACTCACGATCTTATGAAAGTTGAAATTTTATGGTTAAGACGAACAACATTCATTTATCTTTCATCATCTTTATATGGCTTGGATCTAAAAAAGTCAATACCAAACGAATTTTCATGGTTTTGTCTCTACAAACTATTGTAGATCAATCATCACACTGACATATGCTTTTTTTTCAGGCTTCTTCCAGCAAGTTACTAAGAAACTATTTGGAGGTGAACACCTTTCATTTAATTAGTATGAAAATCATTAATAAACGAAAAGTTCCAGAAGTATGTGTACCAATATGGAAGTAACTAATTTTGTTTGCCCAATTTACATCAAGTTGTGTAAAGGGACTGAAAGCTATGGGGTAATTCACTTGGCTAACAAAGGCAGTCCCGAATTCGTAATATAACTAAAATAGGGAAAATCAGAATAAAATTATGGTTGACCCTAACCTGGTACACAAACTTCGAAAGTAGCTCATTCAAACAATAGTGTTTCATATGAACAAGCCAATAGATTAACTTGACTGTTGGGTGATTATTATTCCACCACTGAGTCTATGCATCTGTTACAAATAATGTGCCAATTATTCCCATTCCTGAAATGGACTGGAAACCAAACTTGGGGCAATTTTTCGTAATTTGACAAAGCTTTGAAACTTTTGTATTTTGATGGATATTTCTCGACCCTTAACCCTGGAAAACTCTTCGTATGCTTTTACATCCAAAAAGTTCTGAGTGTTTTTTGCCAGTTGACGATTGCAAAATTGGTTTACATGTTTCATAACCCTAACTGGAATCTGAGATAAATAACCTTTTTCTTATCAAGAGCACTGGCTCTTATTCAAGTATATCACAGCTGTTTTGAACTAATTTTCAATTACTGCGACTAAACTAAAACTATTGGCTGTAGGGTGGTTCATGTGACCACGGGTCGGTTGTGGCTTCCACCACCATCAAGTCCATGCATCCAAAAACAAATAACCGACTATCTAAATTCATACCCAATACTGACTGGTGACGAGACGAGAGGCTGTGGTTCGCCATATGGATAAGTATCAATTTTCCCTTCTCTCCCCACACACACTCAATGATAAATGTGTAAAACCTATGCTATATGTAAATACTATCCTTTTAATATCTAACTTAACATCATCTCCTTTTAATCAAAATCTTAATAGAAATCTTCTATTCAGGCGTGAGAAGATTCATTGATTATTTCAATTGGAGAACATGGAAGCAAACAACAGTCAATGTCACAGAAAGCTACAAAGATCAAAACTTGGAAGAGCCTGAATTTGAGGTCAATCCCAAGTTAAACAAAGTGACTGGTTTTTACAGAGGCCAGATGGCACCTGATGTCACAGAGTACAGAAAGGAACAAGAGTTCGCTGTCACAGAAGCGAATGAAAATATTGTCGAAGTGATCTCACCAAATGAACTAGTCCAACAGCTGTGTGAGGAAGGTTGCCGATGCGTAGGACTAGTGGGTCAAGCTGGAGGGGGCAAGACGACAATGATGAAGCGTACTGCACGAGGCGTTCTCGTCGCTAATGAACTGGATAACGAATCTAAAGCAAAACTGGGATTGTTTGCTCGGTTGTTCAGGAAACAGAAAAATGGATTCAAATTTGTTCATCACTTGAATTTCAGAGACCTTCTTGTTTCGTTTGGTTTAACACCAGAAGAAGCTTTAACTCCATGTACTCTGCTTTTCGGAAACTTTGCACCTAATCTATCAGATCAAACTTTAAAAAGGGATATAAATGGCTTCAGCAACACCAATCAGAAGCAATTTTCTTCATTGATGGCCTGGATCAGGCTACATGGAATCTAGAGGGAAATTACAATAAGATGACATATACTGATAAATCAAGTACAGCCACAATCATGTTTAATCTCTTATCAGGGAACTTGTTCCCCCGTGTAACATTAGTTATTTCTTCACGCGAACACAGAATGGCATCCCTTCCCCTGGAGCTACGACCCCCATTAATTATTGCTCTTGCTGGCCTTGAACGTGATGACACCAAAAAACTATTTACTGCTGTTGTAGGTGAAACAGGGGAACAATCCTGGAATAAGATGACGTTTCAGTCACCTGCACTCGTGCCATTGTCTTCTGTCCCTTTATTCTTGATTTTCAATGCAATCGTTCATAAATCCAACCCAGAGAATCTGCCTAATACAATGACTGATGTAATGACAAAAGTACTTCATATTTTCATGCGTTCCTCACACATTCAGGAGAAAAAATTGATTGAAATAATTCTTCACAATTTAATGAAAATGTCATTTGAAGCCACTCGAGAAAAGCGAGTTATTTTCAACAATACCGATCTAAAAAACGCAGGACTTACAAAAGAAATGGTACGTGATCTCATCATAGAAGTACCTGGAGGCAGCTCACTACTTAATCAACATCTTTTGGAAGGTGACACTCTGATGTTCTTTAGTCATCAAATCCTTCAAGAAATGTTAGCTGCTCTGTACATCGCCAACATGGATCTCGCAACTTTCCAAGCATTCGTCACTAACGAGATTCACAAAGATCACTGGTCCGTTGTTCTACGGCTCCTGTGTGGAACTGTTTTCGATCAAAAAATTAAAGCTCAATTCATCAAAGATCTTACAACTGGTAAGTGCAATCAGGACGTTACAATTATTGACTAAATCAAATATTATCATATTGCGCCAAGAGCTAGGAATAATTTTGCCATAGCTACTCTAATTACCCTACCGCATTCGAGATGGCTAAGTGGTTAATGCAACATCCACCACATGTTTATAGAAAGTAACCATTTAATATAACCGTTGTATTGGTAACAGAACGGGGTGCCGGGGTTTGTGACATGAATGAGTCATTTTATAGGTGTTATTTCTCCAATGAGAAATGTGTAAACCCTGATTCTAAATATTTTAAATTTTTTTTTTGTCAGAGACTGGACTAGAAAAGCAAAATTGTCTTAAACATGCACTCACAACTAAGATAAATCAATGTACGAAATCCTATCAGAAGTTGGAGTTGTTTGGTGCGTTATATGAAGCCAATGATGCCGAGCTCATTAGATCCCATGTTCAAGAAATCAACTTCGAAAACGAGTCTTTCACTGCAGCAGGAATGTGTGCAATGTCATGTGTCATGCGACGATGTGGCCATCTTGAACAAGTTCGCCTCGTCAAATGTGAGCTCAATGCAGAATTATTGAAAAACTTCGAGTTCAACTTGAAAGGCTCTATAGTGAAGGCAAGTGTTTAGTAAAAAACCTAATCTACATATTATTGACGAAAATAATACAAAGAATACACTTAATTTCACATCATGAGATAAAAAATGTATCTTCTATCTGTCAAACTACTGTATATTTAGTCGATTACCTTAAAATGTTAGAATTATCACAGTTATATGAACATATCTTAACTTTATTTTATACTTCTGATATTAGTATTGCATCCTAACAGGTGTCAGAATTTGATATCAGCTTAAATCCGATGTCCGTTGAAGCTTTTGATATCTTTGGTTCAGTTTTAACAAACATTGAAGTGGAAAAACTCGTTATGCGTGGCTGCTCACTTACAGAAGAAAAGTTTCGTGTGCTTGGAAGATATTCCCATTTACAGGTCGAAATATAAATTTTAAGATGGTTCATTATTCCAATTCCTTAATCCTTGGTTTTTATTTTGTTAGTAAGTTTGCTCTGTTTTTTTATTTATATTTGATAAATTATGCAAACTTTATTAACATTTTATTATTTGCTAGAAAAGATCTTCAAAATTATATTTAATTTGTCTAGTTACTATGAGAAATTAGATATTTATCCACCTAACAAAGGTATTTTATATTTCAGATTCGCGTTCTGGATGTTGGAAATATCACAAACATGACGTTTGATCTGTATCTTGCAATTGTCAAGTTCGCATCTGAACATGATGTCAAAGAACTTCTGATGGATCCGTGGGATTTCTTCAAGGCAAGCGAAGAGCAGCTGTTGGAACTGAGTAAATGGAAAGTTTGTGGAAAGGTAATTCAATTTGAAATGGCTCATATCCACTCAGTCACCAATAAATCCTAGAGTAATTTCTTGCCCAACTATGGCTTAGGATAGGATCTACAGGATAGGATTTACATATTTATCTCGGGGGAGAGGAAAGTCGATAAGACAGCTTAACCAAATGGCCTCTCGTTCGGTTACCATTCTATGTCAAGTATGGGATTGGTTAGTCATTTGTTTTTGGTAGCATGGACTTGATTAGCATGGCTTACCTGAAAAGAGAACCCACCCTGCAAACTTTGACTGTATAGTTTTTAAAAGCCCACATAAGCAGGCCAGTGTTAGCACATTTTGGCGTACATGTAGTAATTATTCCCTTCTTGGCAATTATTGTATTTTTTATTATTGTTTTCCCAGTACAACACTATTACATGGCTTTCATCGTTAACATGGCCCTGTAAAGGGAGTCACTGATATGAAGGGAGCAACGTTTTATGATAGAACTGAAGCCTGTCCTTTTTAACATTGTCTGCTCCATTTATTTGGACTATGGTTGTGATGGTGGTTGTATATCTGTGTTTATTGGTTTGTGCATTTTGAGTATTCACAGAGAGACTATCTTTGTCAATTCTCAGGTCAAGCTTTGCTGGTCTAGTTATCATGAAGTATTGTATTTTTATCAACCTAATAAGCACATTTCATTTATCTCAGATATCCACTCTGGATGTTCAAAATATTACAAACATGACGTTTGGTCTGTATCTTGCAATTGTCAAGGTTGCATCTAAACATGATGTCAAACAACTTTTGATGGATCCGTGGTATTGCTTCAAGGCAAGCAAAGAGCAGTTGCTGGAACTGAGTAAATGGAAAGTTTGTGGGAAGGTGAAATAAATTTGAAACGTTCAGGATGCTTTATAGTTATCTGATCTGATATTATTCATTGCTTGAAATTAAAGGCTAATGGTAAATTATTGTAAATTCACAAAATCAATTATTAGTTTACTGATACATCGGTATTGGTAACATCGGCCACTTTATGGAATCTTCATTGGTATTGCCTAAAATATGGCTGGCATTTCCGATATACCATGTAACTCATTGCAAGATTGGTGTTTATGGTATATTTAGTAATTGCCTCTGAACTAATTTGACATATATATCCATACTTCAACTTGTCCCAATTTCCACTAATTTTCTTTGCAGACACCTGCCTAAATGCACGTACCTGCACTTGTCTCTACCTTTATCCTAATTAATATACGACCTAGACTAGCTAATATATATTTTGATCGTGGTATACATTAACAGCAAACCAGACATTTGGGCAAACACTTACAAGCAGTTATATTATTTTAAGCATGACCCAAATATGAATTTACATTTTTGATAACATGATGAAATAATTTAGTCTGCAAATATGGTACTTCTATCTAGTTGGCAATTTCATTTCATACATTGCTAATTCAGGGTTTTAATCACTAACAAGGTTGTATATAAGTGCCCACTGGTATATAAGAAGCTAAAGTCTTTGAGATTCTGCCTTGGCTACTTAGTTTGTTTGTACTGAGTTTATGGTGATGGTTGTAGGCAATTAATCATATACAGGGTGTCCAAAAAGTTCCGCCCGATTTTATAGTTTTAACACTTGCAAGTTTGAAATTAATTTTATTTATTTATAAATGGGAACTGTTATATAAAATCGGGCGAAATTTTTTGGACACGCTGATATATAGGCTTAGTGGTCTGAATATTAAAATCTCCACGAGCATACTGTCTTATATAGATGTGGGTATTCAGATTTGCTGTTGTTTAATGCATTTTAATTTACCTAATAGAGATATTTAAACTATCTCAGATCCGAGTTCTGGATGTTCGAAATATCACAAACATGACGTTTGACCTGTATCTTGCAATTGTCAAGTTTGCATCTGAACATGATGTCAAAGAACTTTTGATGAATCCATGGGATTGCTTCGAGGCAAACAAAGAGCAACTGCTAGAACTGAGTAAATGGAAAATCTGTGGAAAGGTAAATTATATCTGAGGCATTCGGAATGATATTCATAACTAATTAACCTTACATTAAAATTTAAATTGATGTTGAAGACTAATGGAAAAAACTGAACAATTTCCTTTGCTACTATTCGAGATGTAATAATATATGTATATAGGTATCGTCCATTTTACCAATATTGATATTTGTATCGACTAAAGTTGGCCGACATTTCTAATCTACCTTGTTATTCACTGCATAGTCGGTGCTAACGGTATAATATAGATGGAGGTTAATATAGTTGGCGTCTCAATGTTTCCTGAAACATACATATACTAGTCAGGGGCGAACTTGGATTGTCAACCAAGTGTTGCGCATTGTTACGTCATAACATCCTTTCAATTTTGTCATTTTCTCAAAATTTTAGAACGTCACTTTAATATTTTAGTATCTGGTATCGCAGGACTTGCGCTGCTTTGCTTGGAAATAGTAATCACTTGTCACTAAATGGACATTTTGAATTCTGGGAGAATTTCGGTTCTTGCTAACATACCGAAATGATAGATTTGATCATATTTTCATTTCAACTCGAAATATCATGACAGCTTTGCGGAGTTTATATCCAATGTGAAAATAACACAGATACATTAGAAAAGTGAACTATAAGTCAACTATCGTCTTCATAAGTGTTCGCGTACCGGTGTCAGTGAAGATAATATTGTTCGTTTGAAATTTGAACGGTTAATTCACAAACGGTGATGATGAATATCGAAGGCGACAAAAAATATAAAAATCATAATAAACTAAAATATTAATCCTAAATTCACTTCTCAATAGTTGTCTTTAACATACAGCACCGATGTGATCGCATAGTTCTGCCATATGTATAAAAACCAAACTTCGACATCGGCTGTTTTGAAAGAATTGATAAATTGAAAAAAAGGAACAGGCGGAAATATAAATTACAAGCATTAGGATGGCTAGCGTTCTGAACTCCTGTTATTTATTAAAAATATTCTGTGTTCAATTGAAATATTTGAATTATTTGGGTCGATGAAAATATTTAATTATACTAACCCTTAGTTGTTTGTAATCACGCTAATTTTCCGGAGAAACGTGTGGTCAACGTAAATACCACTGCAATGTAACTTAATAAGAACCTCATTGAATTAAGAAAATTGCACTCCATCAAACTCATGGTGGAGTTGGCGATTATTTCATGTCTCAAATTTTTTCGGTCGTACGAGGTATGAAAATCTCATTCTAATGAGTGTTTGACTTCATTCGTAAAAAGGCAATGTTAAAATATAGTAAAGGTAATGTGAGAAGAAACGCCAAGCAGTGAAAAGTGTTTATAACTACAGCAAACCTAATTAGTTCGTTCAGAGATAATATTTAATTGTTGTATGAAATACACTTTCTTCGCCTCTTTCAGCAATAACTTTATTGAATGCTTTTTAAAACTAGACCAAATACCACGGGAATCACTTGGCTAGTCCCCGAACTCGTGATAGAACTAAAATAAGGAAAATTGGAATAAAATTATGGCCCAAACCTGACCTGGTACACATACTACGTTCTGGTTTCTGCCATCTTGGTTCACATACTTCGGGAACGCCCATTATTTTACGAATGCGGTTATTATATAGAAACCTTTTATTCATTTGTTCCCGCTGCGAGTTGCAACTATCGCACGTTTTGAACACGAGGATAATTTTTGTAAGTCGGTAACAACATGTGCTTAGATATAGACAAAATGATTGAGGTAGTGTCCAATCGGTATAGGCAAAAATGTGATATCGATACATCTCCAACCTACATCCATTTTTAGATTTATAGTTCTTCATTTAATACAATATTTTCAGATCAATGTTTTGGATGTCCGATCCATCACACGAATGCCATGTGATCTATGTCTTACAATAACTGAGTTTGCAAGTCGAAGTGAAGTCAAAACAATTCTGATGGACTCGTTGGATTTTTCGAAAGCAAATAAAGAGCAAATAAAGGAATTAAGCGAATACAAATCTTGCGGGAAGGTTTGTTTTATATCATAAAATTGACTTTAATGAAGATAGTCCACCACCCCTACATATTTCCACCACCTTTCACACATTTTCTCCAATATATGCAACCAAACCTATCACCTCTAATTGTGTTGGGCATCCTTGCTTATTTTGCAATATTCCTTACTTGTGGTATCTCACAAATGGTAAAAAGAGGCGTTAGCGAGATCACAGACATTTTCTGCGTTATTACCCATATTGATAGTTACTGATAGTTTTGTTTTTGCAACATTTATATAGATGGAGCGTAACTGTTTCTTAGCATTCACGGTATTTCTTAATGTTTTTCGACCCTTCAAAGCGTAATGTTGATATAGACTGGAAAATCAACAAATTTTGTTCGTACTTCAGAATTTCAAATTTGCATGAATAGCAATAAATTTGATACATTATCTTTCTGGTTCCAGATATCCATCATTGATATCAGTCAAAATTCTATGGACGAAGAAGATTTTTATGCTCTCGGCAATCTTTTATCAAACTATGAAGTTGGCCAACTCATTGCAATAAATTGCCAACTAACAAAAGCAAAACTTGATGCTCTTGGTAGCCATTCTGGATTGAAAGTATGACTAAATTATAATAGTATATTATACCGGGGTGGTTCAAAGTTGCTAGATTAAAGGGCCGCAAAAAAATTTTGAGAAAGATTTGCGGGCGCAATCGGAAAATACCCAAAGTGATTGAAATACTAAGTGTTTAGTTAGTTTAAATATATCAAAGAATAAGAGTGCCGTTCTAACCAGCCTATTGTTATGTTGCATGGGTGGCGCTTTTCATTTTAGGAGATATATACAGCACATACAAAACAATTTATTGTTTCTTGCTTTTGGTTCCCGTTTCAGATCTGGGTTTCGTCACTGCTGTCTCATGACTCACGCTAGAGAATAGAGGTGTGTTTCTCTAAAACAAGGCACAAAACGGCGGATTTGAGTGCAAAGCAAGGTCCTGAGCCCTTGACTTGTAATGAAATAGTTGTGAAACAAATTAAATAAGGTCCAGGGGCTTTAACTAAAAGTAGAAAGAGTTTGCACAAAGCAAAGTCAGAAGACCTAAACTAAGAGTGGAAAAATTACTAATAAAAGAGTTGCAAGTTTGCTCCAACCAATGTCCTCAACTAAAAGCAGGAAAGAGCCATAATAAAAGAATTGCAAGTTTGCTTTATCTTTTGGCATCTGTAAAGCGAACTCACCCTTGCTAAGGTTTAGGTTTAGTCTGTAGATTTTTATCAAGCCTACATAAGCAGGCCATTTTAAGAACAACTTGACCTGCATAAAGTGCTGATAACTTATTGGCAATTCGGTACTTTTTTGTTTTTTTTCTCGAGGACACTGTTTCATGCCTTCCACTATGAAGAAGGCTGTTTACAAGCGGCCACTGTTTCTGTATCAGCATTGTCCACTCATTGTTTTATAAAAGGGCTGAGTTGGGAATTATAAGTTGTTATGTTGTATATATCTGCGTACTTGTTTTCACACTGAAGTTTGGTATTTCTGTTCACCAAATAAAGTTACCGTATTATACCTATCTCAGATTTCCGTACTGGATGTTCGAAATATCACAAACATGACGTTTGACCTGTATCTTGCAATTGTCAAGTTTGCATCTGAACACGATGTCAAAGAACTTTCGATTGATCCGTGGAATTGCTTCGAGGCAAGTAAAGAGCAGTTGCTGGAACTGAGTAAATGGAAAGTTTGTGGAAAGGTAAACTATATCTGCAACTTTGATAAAGATTCATAACTAATCAACCTGATGTTAAAATGTCGCTCGATATAAAAGACCAATGGAAAACTATTGGTTCTCTCTCTAAACCAACGAATATTAGTAGAGGTTTACTGATTCAACAGTATTGGTATTATCGGCTTAATCGATTGTTCACTGGTATTGCCTAAAATGTGGCCGACAATTCTGAAATACCGTGTGCCTCGCTGCGCGATTTGTATTTATGGTATAGCACAGGGATGGCAAACCTTGACCCATGGGTAAAAAAGTGATCCACCAAGCTGAGGCAAGAATTATTACAAAAGATATTAAAACTTTATTGATTCAACAAATCGATTGGTCTAATAAAATATACCGGTATACATCTACTGGAACAATGCGGTTACAACATTCATAACAGAACATTACAATTGATCTGTTTATTTTTCACAACTTGTCCTGTGACAGTGTTTCCCTTTCGAAAGTGCATAAGGAAAAGGAGTTAGGAAATGTTTTGGCGATAGATGAAGCAGGATGGTAATGACTTAAAAAGCCGATTGAAAAATATAATTCTTCGATGGCCGAGTTTTGGATCTTGTAGGTTGTGAGCGAACCCACAGGCCACAATATTCAGTACTTCGATGAGATATCCTATTAAATCAGTCCTAATTCAAATCTACTTTTACTAATGGACTCCGCCTGCGCTATTTTATTTATGTAAAGCGCAGAACATCATTGCCAAAATTATGTACTACAGTAGCTAAATTTCAGTAATTTACCAAATTATTTAAGATATATGATAGCGAAATTTGAGTGTTTGATCAGTGTATAAACGAGAATTGCTCAGACATGATAAAAGGCAACACAGATTTGATTGTTATAACACAAATTAGATACGGGATTGTTCAATCACCATCACATAATACAAACCAAGGATTATAAGATTTGCGGAAAAGATTTACCGTAATATCTACGACTCACAGTCTTGTTTTCACAATGAAATTTTTGACCCATTCGTTAACCATTTCGTTGACCCACCCGTTCGTCATCTCTGGTATAATATATTTGGTCATAAACTTTTTTTGAAATATATATCTAAACTACAATTTATTCAATTCCCCCCTAATTTTACCCTTGCATGGATGCATGCAACTTCGTTTGTCTCTATACATAGACTAGCTAATATATATTTTGATAAGCGTAAACAGCAAACTAGTCACATGGTCAAATGACTCACCAGTAGTATTGGTGGTCTAGCATAACCCAAATATGAATTTTTCCATTATATTTTTTATAACAGGGTGAAACAATTCAGCCTACAAATATGGTAATACTATCTAGACTAGCCAATATTTCCATCATGGTATAACATAAACTAACCATCAGCTGATCAGTTGCATCATTTCAAGCATAACCGAAATATAAATTTTGTCAGTATATTTTTTAATAATGGAGATGTAGTCCTAGTTTTGTTTCTTTCTCGGACAATGGATCTACGAACATCTGTGAAGTGAACCCGTCCTTGCAAATTTACCTAAAAAAGATATTTTAACTATCTCAGATTCAACTGCTAGATGTTCGCAATATCACAAACATAACGTTTGAGCTGTATCTTGCAATTGTCAAGTTTGCATGTAAACATAATGTCGAACAACTTTTGATGGACCCGTGGGATTGCTTCAAGGCAAGCGAAGAGCAGCTGTTGGAACTGAGTGAATGGAGAGTTTGTGGAAAGGTAAATCAAAATTAAAACATATGAAATGCCTCATATCCACTTAACTCACTAATCAATCCTAGTTTTGTTTCTCGCCCAACTATGGCTTACAGGAAAAAAACTGCAACATGCAAACTTTGACTGTATACTTTCAAAAGGCCAGCATAAGCAGACCAGTCTTAAAACATTATGGCCTGCATGTAGTACTAATATATCGTTGCAATTATTGTTTTTTCCATATTATTTTTTTCATAAAATGCTATTTCATGGAATCATGGCTTTCACTATGAACGAGGCTCTGAATAAGCAGCTACTGATATGGAAGGGAGCTAGCTACATTGTCTGGAAAAACTGCAGTCCATCGTTTTCAGCATTGTCTGCTCCATTTATTTGGACCATGGTTGCGATGGTGATGTGTTTGTGGTTTGTAAATCAGTGTATCTATGAAGAGAATATCTTAGATAAATCTCAAGTCAAGTTTCATCAGTATAGTTATGCAGCTTTGAGGTTTTGTATTTTTATTCACCTAACAAACAATTTCATTTATATCAGATCCAAGTTCTGGATGTTCGAAATATCACAAACATGACGTTTGATCTGTATCTTGCAATTGCCAAGATTGCATCTAAACATGATATCAAAGAACTTTTGATAGATCCGTGGGATTACTTCAAGGCAAGCGAAGAGCAACTGTTGGAACTGAGTAAATGGAAAGTTTGTGGAAAGGTAAACCAAGTCCAAAACTAAGGGAACTTGGATATTGTGTATTGAACTGCAGGTCCTTTCTCCTTGTTTACTTTCTACTTCAGATCCGTATTTGGCACTCACCACAAGGATGCTTGAACGAGATAGTATTAAAGTGATAAGTAAAAATAACATGATCTCTTTCAACGAAATAATACGTATATTTGTGAGCTTTCGTTAGATCATGGTCTAACTTCTTCAAACAATACAAGATATAACTAAATAGTGATCAATGACTTTGAAATAGTTATATTCAATTGGTAGTGCTTTTATTTTGTTATAAGAGACCGCAATCGTAAGTAATGTTGAACACAATTATATTATTATAGAAAGACTATTGATACTTTTAATGTACAATAAGTCATCCGCTAAAAATGTCGGCTATATTAATAAGTGGTGAAAAGTGTTTGCTCAAAGCAAGGTTCTGAATCCTAAAAAAGCATAAATCCCTAAAAGTGGAAAGAGTTCTTATAGAGGAGTTGCAAAGTCTCGAGCTCCTAACTAGAAGCATAAAGTAAAGAGTTTTGATCGAAGGGTTGCTAATTTTCCCAAAGCAAGGTCTCAAGTCCTGAACTAAAATCGTGAAGGATTCTGATTGAGGAGTTGCAAGTTTGCTCAAAGCAGGGTCCCGGGCTTTCAATTAAAATTGAAAATAGTACTAATAGAAGAGATGCAAGTTTGCTCAAAGCAAGGTCTCGAGCCTCCTAAACTGGGTCTAGTCCCGGGTTCCAACTAAAATTGTGAGGGATTCTGATTGAAGAGTTGCAAGTTTGCTCAAAGTAAGGTCCTGAGCCCTCAAATAAAGGTGAAAAGACTTTTTATAGAATAGTTGCATTAGCATATTTGCTCAAGTCAAAATCTCGTGCCCCAATCTAAAATTGGAAAGAGTACTTGCAAAAGAGTTGCAAAATCCTGAGTCCTAAAATAAAAGTGGAAAGAGTTGCAAGTTTGCTCAAAGCAAGGTCCTGAGCCTTCAACTAAAGGCGAAAAGAGTACTGATGAAAAGTTGCATGTTTGCTCTAAGCAAAGTCCCGAGCTTTGACTAAGTCGAAGAATAAGGGCAAAAGAAGTTTACGTCAAAACATATTTTGATTTGAGAATTAAAGGAGTCCCTAGTATGAAGGTGCTGATATGAATATTATATAAAGCTCTGAGTGCGTCAGTGTTGCTTTGAACAAATTTGTAACCCTTCTATCAGAACTCTTTCCACTATTAATAAAGTTGCTTGGGATGTTGCTTTTAGCAAATTTGAACTAGAGTCTTCAACTAAAATGGAAAGAGTAACGGTTCTGATAGAAAAGTATCAAGTTTTGCGGTTGCGTTTCAGCAGAAAATACCTAATTTCTTACACCCCGGGTGAGGTGGGGGCCATCAGTTGTTTGCTATTTTGTATGTTTATGTGTGCATACTGGTTTCATATCAAATGTAAACATTAATAAGTTTAATAGTGAATAGAAGAAGGCCTGCCATAAGTATTTGCAGTCACCTTCATAACCTACTGCAATATCGCTATTGGGTATTTTTAATATTTGATCGGTCTGGGATAAAATGTGATACCCATAAATTTCCATATTCTAGGAACCTTTATTCTTGTAGTTTATCAACAGATGCAATAATTTTTAGATCAATGTTCTGGATGTTCAATCCATCACTCAAATGTCATCTGATCTATGTCTCACCATATATGAAATTGCAAGTCAAAGGGGAGTCAAAAAAATTCTAATGGATTCGTTGGATTTCTCTAAAGCAAATAAAGAGCAATTAAAGAAACTAGACAAATACAAACTTTGTGGGAAGGTCTGTATTATTTCACAAAATTTACTGTGACACCACCCTTACATATTTTCTAGTCTCCAATACTCACTGCAAAACCTATCACAACTAGTCTTGTGGGGCAACCTCGTTCATTTTGCGCTATTCCATACTGGTCGGCACGCAGAGTAAGGAAACGATAGCAAAACAAGTTAGCAAACTTTTTGCAAAATACCTGATATATATTACAAAAACATGTTTCTCATGGAATTGGTTTAAAGTGGGTGTGACATTAAATTTAAATAGCAGTTTCTTCAGAAGTTTACGCGTTTTAACTCACTATTTCTGCAAGAATCAATAATAATACCGTAAGATCACTAGCAAATATAGAAAATTTTTGTGGCTTGCAACTACTAAAAATTCTGAATTAAATAAATGTGCAGCCCGTAGCCTCACACAGTTACTTGTATTTGGCCCGCCAATGAAAAAGGTTCACACCCCTGGCCTAATCCATTACGGAAATTGATATCCAGAGAAGGTCAACCCCAAACCATCGTCTATTCCGAATGGCTTCCAAGAGACAACATTTTCAAATAATATTTCGAATATGGAATATCTTTTTGGTTTATATTTTCCAGTATTTTAGAATGTTTATTTGATATTTTGGTAATCAGAAGTTAAAAAAAAACTGGACTGGCATAAGTGGGGCAGTGGTTCTCAAACGGTGGGGCGCAATGGTTTAGACCAGGGGTGTGCAAAGTGCGGCCCGCAACTGAAAATTGTGCGGCCCGCGGAGGCAACTGAATAGCAGTTTGAAAAATTTTAATATTAAAAGATAAAATAGCTAAATGAGTTTTGGTTCCAGCCTATCAGTTGATGTTGTCTAAATCGAACCTAGAATAAGATTTGACAGCAAATTATTTGGAAATGAAACTTGGCGCATTTTACTGAAAACTTCTCAATCAATTTACTTCCCACATTTGAAAAAGTCATGGCTTCAAATAGGGCACTTTTCGATAATATATTTTTGTTCTAAAATGGGCGTCGCATCGAATTGCTAGCACTTCCATTTAAGCAAATTTGGATGAAAGTAGTCGGAAAAAGAATCCAGCAGCAAATTTCTCACTGAATTCGTTTAAATTGGGTGCAACAATATATATCTTTAAATTACAGTTCCAAGAACTTAATGTTTTCACTGTTTTACGACATTTTGATGCGTGATGTTGATATATATCAGAAAATCAACTTGTGTTAGTGGTTCTAAATTCACTCTTCTGTGTTAGTAGGCACCAGCCTTCAAACTTTCAAATGCCAAAATACCCGCCTTTATTGCACTGATGTTCGTTATCTTTATGTTTTTAGATATCCGTTATTGATATCAGTCAAAATTCTATGGACGAAGAAGCTTTTGATGCTCTTGGTGACCTTTTTACAAACTATGAAGTTGACCAACTCATTGCAAAAAATTGCCAGCTAACAAAAGCAAAACTTGATGCTCTTGGAAGCCATTCTGGATTAAAAGTATGACCAAGTTATAAAATAATATCATGCCACTGTTGCTCTTCTGTTGAGATGGCTAGAAAATACACACAAAACAGCTGGTTTCATGATGTTTGATATTGGTAGATTCGGATGATAAAGTCTTCTTTTTGCGGGAATATCTAAAATCAAAGATGTAAATATTTAAAATAAGGCGTGCAAGATCAAATTTAACAAATATTTTTATTTTTAATTAGCTTTACACCCCCTCAAAAAATTGTCTGCACCCCACTTTTGAGAACTGCTGGTCTAGGGTCGATACAAACAACCACTTTTGTACATATCTGTTAGTCATATCTGTTACAAAACTTTTGGATAAGATTTAGATATGTAGTCCTATTGATACTTGAAATACAATTATTTATCTATGTTTCAGTTATCCAGGTTTGACATCAGTGAAAATCCAATGTAAATTACCAAGTAAGGTAATCAGAGATGCTGTGGCAGTTTATATTCCAATATTTTATTTGAACTAGTTGATACACTATACTATATTTCTACTTTCTGCTAAAAAACTGTTTTTTTTTATGTCGGTTTTTATTAATCATATCTATCACAAAACTTTTAGAGAGAATTCAGATATGTAAGCTATTTGTTTATTAAATTTCATTTCTATGTTTTCAGCTGTCCAGGATTAATATCAATGGAAACCCAATGGATGAAAAAGGATTCAATGCTCTCGGTTCTTTATTAACAACAAATAATAAAGTTCTTCACCTTGTCATGCAAAATTGCCAACTCACAAAAGAAAAACTGGACGCTCTCGGAAGTCGCTCAGTATTAAAGGTTTTGTTTTATATTGTTGCTCGATATATGATTGAATAATCTGTTAAGTATATCCGTAGTGATTTTCTACTCAGCATTCTTGCCAAACTAGATGGCGATGTAGAGTAGATTGAATAGATCTCCTTTTTCTTTGTTCTCTTTTCGGTGTTAACAGTGTAAAGCAAATGATTCTATTGGTATTATTTGTTAACTTCTGTTTATAAAAAGTTATAAAACCTATCAAAAACTCAAGCACTCTCTTTGTAATGGAAACATGGCACCCATATGTTGGCTTTGTCATGATCCAACTAAAGCTTGACGGTGTCACTTATAGAGCTAGCAAATTGTATTACAGCACGTCACTTTTAATCTTGCTTCTATTTGTTGCAAATTTCAAAATTTAGTTGTGAATAATATATAGAAATGTTGAATATGAACACTCCCCTATGACATAATTTGTTAGTTGAGATTTATTCTTCTATGAGTTATAATGTTACCCATATTGCAGACATTGATATGAAATACTATCTTTCATTTTCATGAATTTTTAAAGTTTCCTCCCAATAATCCTATTCGTTTTACTAGATTTACACTCTGGATATTCGATCCATAACCGGCATGACATTTGATCTATTTCTCGCAATATCTAAGTTTGCAACTGAGAGTGAGGTCAAAGAACTTCTGATGGACCCATGGAAAGAGTTCAAAGCAACTAAAGATCAAATAATGGAATTGAGTAAATGGAAAGTCTGTGGAAAGGTCTGTAACATATTCATTGAGACTTGAAATATGCTTACGAAATTATTGCCTAATCCATTAAATATGTTGTAAACATTTTGTTGATAAACCTTGGATCTCACTTTATTGTATGTGAATTCAGTGAATTGATATCCAGAGAAGTTCAACCCCGAACCATTGTTTATTTACATTTTCAAATAGTATTTCGAATATATTTTAAGTTTAGATTTTCCAGTTTTTTAGAATGTTTTTATTTGATATTCTAGTAAACAGAAGGTTAAAAAATCCTGGATTGAAAGAACATCAGATACTTCGCATAACATCTGGCACCGATTAGGCAAGATAATGAAATGATAATAAATAAATGATAAATTTTCAAAATGAATATTCAATTTATTTATGAATTGAAGGACTAAATTTGAATATTTATTTTAGTTGGATGTACTTAATGTCACTAACAACAAGGATCTTGGCACTGCTGGTTTTGGTAAAGTTGGAACAGTTGTTTCAAAATGCCAGGTGAAGGAATTGAAGTCTCAGAATTGCAATCTGACAGCAGAAGGAATTAAGGCATTCAACGAAAACACTCGCAATGCCAAGGTACCAAACAGGTTAACTTACATAAATGGTCATGCATTGGATATAAATCAAGCATGTCTTGATATAACAAACAGTTTATGAGTTGTTTAATGGCTATTCCAGTGCAATGACTTTGGTCACCACAGAGTATTTTTAGTCATTTATAACTCCCAAGACAAATTGTAATAACTGTGCCGGCCAGCATTTTTGTAATCTACCATGAAATATCGATTGGATCAGCAATCCTGTTGCACAATCACAATATCCCTTTACAACAGCAGTCGGAACCGAGCAGTATGTGGCTGCTTGAATTCGTTAGGAAAATAGTTTTATAATGTAAACAGCTTTTTAAACAGTTTGTAAGATCTTTTCCGTCCGAATGTCTGATATCACTGCTTTTTTATCAAATGAAATATCATTTTCTGGCCAATTTACTCCGGATTGGTCAGTTTGCCAATTTCTTTTTTTTTTACTTAAATTGGATAGATACACTGATTGTCAGTTCGAACAAGGATCTTGGCTTTTTGTGAGTTCATTTAGATTGGTTCACTGATCTTATTTATTTCAGTTGGATATACTAGATATCAGTAACAACCGTAATCTTAGCATTGCTGCTTGAATCTTCTCCAGATTTTGCATGTGCATTCATCTCATCTCGGACCAGAAGCCTATTGATTTTGGGCGAATTATGTCGTATAATTAGCGAGTTATCAATCAATTATTGCTATAGTGATCTAGATTTTTGTAAAGCGAGAGAATTTTGAAACCCGCCGAGTGTGTGTGTGCGATGCGCAGTGCGCAAGTTACAAGAGCGGATGAATCGAAACTGCAGTTTCTGTTTTGGGGGATCCCCTAACTATCGATCGATAAGTCTTCGGTTTCCAACCGATATTCTCGTTTGCTTTTTTTTTCAATAGCTTCAAGAAGTATAAAATGTTTAGATATCTGTTGGCTTGGTGATATTGCATATTGGAACCTGGCTAATTTGAAAGCTGACCAATTTAGTTAACTAGGTCGATTCAAGTTCATCATTCACTACCAAGTGGTAGTTTGCAAAGTTGTTTACCAAGCTCAATTTTTTTGTAATTATTAGATTGCAAAGTTGGATGTCAGTCATAATTCTTTAAATGAAGAAGCTTTCAATGCACTTGGTTCACTTTCAAATAGTGTTGGAGTTGATGAGCTCATCATGCGGAATTGCCAATTAACAAAAACCAAACTTGATGCTTTCGGGAGCCATTCTCGATTGAAGGTATGATGAAGATCATTTTGTTTTAGGGACATTCCTGAATCTTGATTGTATTACTGTCAGGTGTTTGCCATCTTGCCTATCCACAATGCATTAATAGACTTACGTGCCATCAAGTGTTACATTAATGATCGGTCTTTCAGGCGATAATAATATATGTTTACTGACTGTAATTACTATCAAATTTTTTTCTCATCTATCTACTGGGATTTCGTCAGCTACCCTTTTGGTTCATATTATTCATTCAGTTTTCTCGGTAAGACTGATCTTCACTAGGATAGGATTCGAATTGCATATACGATTACGGTTACCAGTCCATGTCGGTTATGGGACTAGTTGGCCCTATCTTCGTTCCAAATGCATGGAATTGATGGTGGAAGAAGCCTTATCTGACCAGTGGTTACATTAATTATTTCTGAGATGACCAGCAATCCTTCTGCACATAATTTCCCCCCACAGGATATGAATCATCGAACTACCGCAAGGTAAACAAAAATGCATCGGCGGGCGTATTCATAACGCTTAGCATGGTGCGCCACACCTCAGAGCCTAGTTTGCTGACCTAAAATTTATAAATCATCCCTTTGCGTCGAAAAACATCTGTTTTTTATATCTCTGGTAATATATAAGTAGGAATGTAAAATTAACTCAACACAGATGCAAGTTATATTCTTATTTTCATTTCATTTGAACTAGTTGATACACTATATTTACTGGTATTTAAGAAACTATTTTTTCTTGATGATTTTCTCTTGGAAGTCACTCAGGATTACAGGTTTTGTTTTTTATTGCTGCTTGATCTATCTTTGAATAATCTGTAAAATATATCCGAAGTGGTTTGCTATTCATCATTCCTGCTAGGTGGCGATGTGGAGAAGATGAAATTGAACTTTTTTCTTGAATTTATCTTTTTTTCCAGTGTTAGTTGTTAGAAACAAATGGTTCCATCGGTATTATTATTCATGTTACATTATTTATAAAAAATAATGTAAGCATGTGGCAGTATTCATTTCAATGCAGACGCAGGCCCTTTTTATCTGTATTGAACCAACTGAAACTCAACGGTGTCGCTTATAGAGCTAAGAAATTGTATTACATCACACTACTGTATATCTTGCTTCGTTTTGTTGCAAATTTCAAAATTTAGTTATCAAACGTTCTGGATAGGATTTATGTAATCTTATTTATACTTGAAATCCATTTATTTATCTATGTTTCAGTTATCCAGGTTTGACATCAGTGAAAATCCAATGGATGAAAAAGGCTTCAATGCTCTCGGTTCTTTATTGACAGCAAATAATAGGGCTCTTGACCTTGTCATGCAAAATTGCCAACTCACAAAAGATAAACTTGACGCTCTTGGAAGTCACTCAGGATTAAAGGTTTTGTTTTAAATTGTTTCTTGATATATAATTAAATAATCTCTTCATAAAGTGTATGCGTAGTGATTTTCTATTCAGCATTCCTGTCAAACTAGGTGGCGAGCGACTTTTGTCAGCAACTTTTTTGGTCTATATTTTCCTATTAGTTTTCTCCAGGTAGAGATAAGGATAGGGTAATATTTGGTACTCCTGAAGTATGCGCACCCAGATGTCGCACAAACTGAACCCTAACCTTATACACAACCTGAGTTCAGGTTGTGCGGCATCTTGGTGCGCATACTTCAGGAGGTCCCTATATTTTCCCCTTAGTTTTTTCTGTGAGACTGGAATTTACTAGGATAGGATGGGACTTGCATATTATTCCCGGGGGAGAGATGAGGCGGCTTAATCATATGGCGAATCACAGCCTCTAGTCCGGTTACCAGTCTATGTCGGTCATGGGATTAGTTAGTTAGTTATTTGTTTTCGGAAGCATGGACTTGATGATGGAGAAAGCCATACTCTACCAGCAGTTACGTGAAACACACTACATTGGCAAGAAGTCCAGCAACCCTTCCGCACATAATTTTTCCCCACAGGATTCAAACCTGCAATCCCAAGCAAGGTAATCAGAGATGATGTGGAAACTTAGATTCTTATATTTTATTTGAACTAGTTGATACACTATATTTATGCTTTCTGCTAAAAACAATATTTTTTTTTATGTCGGTTTTTATTAATCGTATCTGTCACAAAACTTTTAGAGAGAATTCAGATATGTAATCTATTTGTTGATTAAATTTCATTTATATGTTTTTAGCTGTCCAGGATTAATATCAATGAAAACCCAATGGATGAAAAAGGATTCAATGCTCTCGGTTCTTTATTAACCACAAATAATAAGGTTCTTCACCTTGTCATGCAAAATTGCAAACTCACAAAAGAAAAACTGGACGCTCTTGGAAGTCACTCAGAATTAAAGGTTTGTTTAATATTGCTGCTTGATATATCTTTGAATAATCTGTTAAGCATATCCGTAGTAATTTTCTATCCAGCATTCTTGCCAAACTAAATGGCAATGTAGATAGAGTAGATTGAATTGATCTGCTAATGCCACAATGACCACGAAAAATTACCGAAACATTCACTTAATTAGACTCGATCACAAAAAAAGAACAGCAAAGTTTAAAAATAAACTACAGTGTGTCATAATAACTATGGAGTATTAGACTCCATAGGCAAGCTAGGCTTTGTCATGATCCAACTGAAGCTGGACGGTGTAACTTATAGAGCTAGCAAATTGTTTTACAGCACGTCACTTTTAATCTTGCTTCTATTTGTTGCAAATTTCGAAATTTAGTTGTGAATATTATATAAAAATGTTGAATATGAACACTCTCCTATGACATAATTTGTTAGTTGAGATTTATTCTTCTATGAGTCATAATGTTCCCCATATTACAGGCATTGATATGAAATACTATCTTTCATTTTCATAAATTTTCAAAGTTTCCTCCCAATAATCCTATTCGTTTTACTAGATTTGCTCTCTGGATATTCGATCCATAACCGGCATGACATTCAATCTATTTCTTGCAATATCTAAGTTTGCAAGTGAAAGTGAGGTCAAAGAACTTCTGATGGACCCATGGGAAGAGTTCAAAGCAACTAAAGATCAAATATTGGAATTGAGTAAATGGAAAGTCGGTGGAAAGGTCTGTAACATATTTATTGCGACTTGGAATATGATAACAAAATAATTGCCTAATCCAGCCGTCTGTAATCGGCCTATCTTATATGGGCCAATTGTTTACTAATGGCTTTTTGTTTTT